ACTGAGAATGGTGAAACATCTGCCCCTATTGATGCATATCAAGATGACCTAACAATGATGGAAGTGATTGTCCAAGCAGACGAGAGTGTTTATTCTTCGATCTTATGTAGGGAAGATGTTGATTCATTGGCTATTTTTTCAAGAATTGTACAATCTATTGAAATTAATGATGAATATGATAAAGTGATGATACACTTGTTGAGTATTGTGACGAAGATAAAGAACTATATGAACATAATGGAGATGTAGTGATTTGGACCCTATTTCGAAAGTTTAAGACTTTAACTCTTTTCAATAAGTTGTTAAATTTATTATTCCTTTCTCGAGAAGGCTTATTGTTCATGTGATATAACACTATATAAATATAACATTATGGTACTTTTTTTATTTATTGTATATATCCAATCACTAATTGTTTGAAATTTTCATGAGGTAACTCATTATTCTCTTGGTTGGTTAGTTTTTAAATAATTTATTTATTTTCATTATATATGTTGTAATATTTTATTATTATTTTTTATGCTGGAATTTTCAATGATAAATATTGATAATTTTGGTGTCCTTTTCTTCTCCCTCTGTTTTTATTTAAAGTAATTAATTATTGGAATGTTTAGATTTTAAAATGTTGGTTGAATCAAATGAACAAGAGATTTGGGGGTTAAAAGTATTTTGGAAATTGATTTGAATTTATTTTTCTAGTTTTTGCTAGAATGGGGGCTATTTGTTGTGTTACTCCGAAGGATAGAACTATTTCTAGTGAATCATCTCGTGAATTTTGGAAATTGATTTGAATTTATTTTTTTAGTTTTTGCTAAAATGGGGGCTATTTGTTGTGTTACTCCGAAGGATAGAACTATTTCTAGTGAATCATCTGGTAAAATTTTGCCGAGGCACAATAACTGTCAAATTGGAGCTTTTTCAATGGACAATTGTAAATGTGTGGATGGGGAAAATGCTGAAATTTTGATGATTTTCCTAATTTTTTTGAAAGAAGATTTGTTCATTTCTTGCCCCACGTTGTTAATGAATAGTAAGTTGAATGTACGTACCTGTCTTTGTATGTTAATTTGCGAAGCTTTAAGAAGGAAGTAATAATATTTAGTACTTGGTTGAAGTTTTTTAGTGAAAGTAGAGACTTCACACAATTATGTTCCACGAAATTCAGGGCTTGTGCTTTGGTACATTGACGTCGGTCAAAGTGATTGTCCAAAGAATGGTCAACATGTTTTTCTTTCGGCTAACTGTTTTGAATTTTTTTATTTGATTGCTATTGATATCATCATATGAAAAAGATCTACATGTTAAGTTCCAAGCATTCTTAAGAACTAGAACAATATGCTATTGACTGATTTGCATGCTAATAATTGACATACAATAAATGAACGAACCAAAACCCAAATTGGGTTGAGAATTATTTATCCTAAATCAATGCATATGTAGGATGCGTAATTAGTACATAAATTTTCTATACATTAGATAAATTAAAAATAAAATGTTAATTTTCTATTAGTTAAAGCATTTAGGAAAATCGATCACTAAATATATATACATATTTGAAGGAGCATTGTGGAAACTATTGGTTGTTTTAAACATCATGTTAGTTCGACCATGTACCTAATTCATTTATGTGAGTTTGGTGCTTCGTAATAATATAGATGGATTAAAATCTTCAAATTGTATGAAGCAAACCGGAGATATAGCAGGAAAGATATAAATGGATTATATTAGAATGTTTATTACTTTCTATTACGTTGTACTCAATCCTAATTACCTAGTAGTTTACGTAACTTGTTGAAAATTCCATGGTCCTAAAATTTCATATTACCTACTTGTAATTCAAAAATCCTGTAAAAAAAAAAAAATCTCAATCCGTTAAGACTAACGAAATTGTAAGACACATGCTTAAAGTAAGAATGGTATTACAAAATCATATATAATAAGTGATAGTTAGAAATCGCATGCGTTTTATATTCATATCATATGCGATAATTGGGTGATTTTGATTGGATTCTACCTAATTTATATGCGAATTGTTTATTTGCTGTGTGCAGAGGGCAAATATTAAATTTGGCATAATTGGCAGAAAAAAGAAATAAAATTAATTAAAGGCCCAAAAGCCCATCTACAAAATAATTAGGGCAAACATTAAATGAAAGGAGGGATCACACGTTTCAAGAGGGAGAGGACGGCTAGGGCAGAAACGCACAGGAACAAGAGACTGACAGATTCATAGATCGCGCATGAGCAAATCGACAGAGAAGATTTCCCCTCCCACTATGACTTCATCTTTCTCTTTTGTTCTTTGTTATTTAATTATGGAGTAGATACTTTCTGGTTTGAGGGGTGATAATGTTTTGGTTCTTTTGTTTTGGAGATTTTTGATTTTCTTTATAAAAGTTCTTTTTGATTATCAATATTTGTCTAATTCTGAGAATAACGTTTGTGATTGTTAGATTGATTGAATATTTTGGTACCGATATTTAAATTAGTCTGATAATCTAAAGTTAATTCAAGTAGGATATCCGTAATTGTATTCGCACTTGAATAGGTGACAACCGGGTTGAATAGTTCCTTCACGGGGGTTAGACAATCAAATCTAATTGCTTCTCTTAGGTAGTAATTGTTTTGAATTGGGTTTTTCTAGATTGGAATGCGGTTAGGCAATATTCTTATGGGCACACCTAGGTTTATTTGCTTAATTAGGGGTAGTTAACGGTCGTACCTTAATTACCTACACTGTAAGGAAAAATTGGTTGTCAGAGCTTGTTGATAACTATAACCAATTTATTGATACTTTAATAAGAATTAATTTAATTGAATTAATGATAGAACACAAGTGCCATAACTGCATCATCCCTTGAGCCAGACATCCCCTTGATAGTCAGTTCCCTTTTAATTTAATTGCTTTGTTATTTTATTTTAATTAGATAATAAAAGAAAAATCCCCCTTTATTTACTACATTAGAACACGAAAGAGTGAATCACACAATCCCTGTGGAGACGATCCCTTCCCCTATATTACATTAAATTGTGATCTCGGAGTAGGTGAAATATTTGATTGACCGCGCGACAGGTCAATAAGAAAAAAAAAAGTTACAAAAATACCTTCTTAATATTAATATAAGCACTTTTCTCTTTTTCACCATATTCTTCTATTTTTAGGTCGTCGTCACTATCCTTCACTCCGGTCTATAGAGAGCATATGACAATTTTATTCTCATCTTTTTCTTTGACAACAAATCTCTTTCCACCCACAGAAACTTATCAAACAAACAGGTCTTCACATTTCCCAACAACATCTTATCCTTACATATTATCAAAACCTTAAAAAATGGCTGCAAAACTTCATCCAAAACTTCCATCATAGTGGAAAAACTGTATAGAGTCTTCAATTACTTAAAAACCACATAACCACCTGATAATTCATACGGTTCCCCTGTATAGTAGTTTTGTTGTCCATTGAATTTCATGAATTTAAAAAATTTGAGGGATTTAAGGTTAATTGGTTATGAAAATTTCAAAAATTAGGGATAGAAATTTAATTTTAAAAATTAAGGAAATATAATTATGATTTTGGGATTATCTTTTTTTGGGGCAATGACAGCGAGAGGAATTGCCACCGCTGCCACCGCACTTGCGGTGGGCTTTGTCCATCGACCTGTACTTCCGCTTGAACAATGACGACAAGAGTAGCAGTTGTCCGGCAGAGAAAACTTGCTACAAATTTGTGATTTGGAAACAGGACGACACTGATAGTTTGATATCGCCAGTAAACAACAAGATAAATGACGTTGCCGCCAACGGTTCCTCTTGAGCTCCTTCGACCATTTCCTGCTTCCAGATTAAGGGTAGGTCGGAGACGGTGGTAGCGGAGGAGGGGCAACTCCATTAGTAAGAGGGTTTAGTGAAGGAGCCTCTGGTAGGAGGTGGCGGCGGCAGCGGCAGCGCTAGTGAGAAAGATGACAACAAGGAGAAGAGAATGTCGCTGCATTTTTGTGAGGTAAAATCTTGCCGGAGAAAATGGCATTGAGCGAAAGATGGTGCAGACTTACATGTTGTCAGGTTTGACGTTAGGTCTGGTAGAAGAAATATCACAAATTGAGAGTATAATAAGTAAAACCTACTAAGGGCATAACGGTCTACCACAACTAAAAATTAAGGTTGTTAGTGGAATTTGTTAAAAAAAGGATGTGTGCAATATCTTTTCATGTTTGAGTAAATAATATGAAATTTTACGACCAAATGAGATTTTTAGCGCTTTACGAAAATCACGAAAAAATTTTATACTTTTTTTATATTTTTTTAAAAAATTCGTAATATCTTATTTTACCTTTTTACATACTCTAATTTTACATTAATATATCATTTTGTTTTTAAAAAAACACCTTAATTTTTTTTCAGTTGAAGAAAATAATAAATAAATAAATAAGTAATAACCAAAACAATATAAATCAACCGATGTAGTATATTGATTTTCTAGTCCATCACTTGCGTATTTATCCGTTTTTCTTAAAAAAAAAAAAAAAAAAAATTAATAGCAAATGTGAGATAATTTTTTTTAACAATATTACATATATATGGTAATTGAGATTTTTTTTTTTTCATTTTTTTCATTCTAAGGAAAAAAAATAAATAAATATTGATAACAAATACGATAAATCCGAAAAAAAAAAAAAAAAAAAAAGAAAATCCCACAAAGTTATTGGCAAATTTGGATTTATAAATTCTTAATTGCTAATTAGAAATTGAATCATAATTACAGCATTTATTGTCCTCACTAAAAAGGGATTGCCATTATTACCATATGACAGGCTTACCTTACCTTACAAAATCCAATCCCATACATACGTTCTACAAGTAATTCTTACACACTCCTTGGATTTATGATCCAGAGTAAATCCACGCCATTCATATGTAAAAGAGGCTCCGAAATGGCAACCATTTAACTGGGATCTGAACTCCAGGGACTTTTACATAAATTACTCAGAATTCATTTGAAAAGTCAACCGTTAGGGCTTCCCGGTCATTTCAATTGTCGGAAAAAATTTTGGACTAACAAATGCTCCGACTCCCCCGAATTTTCCGAGTTCCGCCGCCGTCGCTGATTCCGACGCCGCCGTGCTAATTGAAACTTCCGATTTGTCAATTAAGCATTTCTGAAACTCCGGGAATGGCTTCTTCGGAGGCCAATTCCCGCCTCGGCCAAGTGGTGGTTCCCGCCCTCGATCAGATCATCAGAAACGTCTCGCGGCGGAAGCACGCGAAGCTCGTTTCCGATTGCAAATCGGCCATTGATAACCTCAATGGAACGGTTCAGAGTCGCTCTCCGACCGCGGCTACCGCCGCGTCCTCGCCATCGAAAGGGGTGTCCGATCCGGAGGAGGCGTCGCTCGCCGGAGTTGTTCTCGGCCTCTCATTGCTGGAATCGGAGGTAATTCTGAACCCTATAATCGATGCGCTGTCTCTCAATCAAATTAAAGTCTCGGCGCACGCTCTGGAGGCGGTGCAGAGACTGATCGCCGGAGCGTTTCTGCACGGCGAGCCCAGCCACGGCGGGGATCCCGGCGCGAAATTGCTGGCGAAATTGATCGATTCGGTGTGCAAGTGTCACGATTCCGGCGACGAGAACGTCGAATTGATGGTGATCAAGGCGCTCCTCTCGGGGGTCGCTTCTGTGCCGCTGCGCATACACGGCGACTGTTTATTGCACGTTGTGAAGACCTGTTACGATATATATTTGATCAGTAAGAACGTAGTGAGCCAGACGATTGCAAAGGGGACAATGGCTCAGATTTCAGCTTTTGTGTTTAGGAGAATGGAGGCTGATTCTGTAGCCATTTCATTACTTCCAGTTGTTGCAGCAGAGCTCATGGAGGCTCCTAGCAAGCCGAACGACGACAATTCAGTGACATTGTTTTCGTTAGGTTTCATAACTAAGATATTGCAGGATATTGATGTGGTTAATAATCCTAAGGGTAATGGAAGGTTAGAGGTGGGGGGACAGGACGTGGATAAAATCCCAGATTCGGAGGGTGGTTCTGTAGATAAGGATTCGTCGGACAAACGGCAGTGGGAGATCAGTATTTATAAGAAGGCATTAGAGGTAAACAAGGGAATGGTAGAAAATGGAGAGGGGGAAGCAACCGATGACTTGGATGTTCAGATTGGGAACAAGCTAAGACGGGATGCCTATGTGGTTCTCCGGGCTTTGTGTAAGCTCTCGATGCAGGCTCCAGCGAAGGATAATACCGTAGATTCACAGACAATAAAGGGGAAGATCGTTGCCTTGGAGTTGCTCAAGGTTTTGTTGGATAATTCCGGGACAACATTCAGGACAAATGAAAGGTATTAGATGGACGAATCGCACCACTTCATCCTTCTTTATCTTGTTTATTGTAAATTGCTTCGGTTGCTCTTTCTCTGCTGTTTATGAATTAACCACTTTATGGTGTAACCACGGTATTCTATAGATGTGTAAACAGTAATCTACAACTAGCAGTACTATGTGGGGAAGAAGGGAAGTTTGTTTAACTGTGCATTTGTGAGTTTCTATTGGCGCAATCAATAGTTATATAAATTCCGACGAATTCTACTTTAACATTGGTCTTTGCCTTTGCTGTGTTATCTGGTTTTGTGCGGAACTGAACTTTTTGATGCCACATGAGTTTTCTTGCAATCTGAGTAGTTGATTAGGTTTAAAGGCCTAAGCACATTGCATATGGTTGTGATTTTGTTCTTGATTAGTTGTTTATCATCTTGGTGCTTCCAAACACGATTTGCTGATTATTTTTGTTCATTTTCTTGTGAGTGTTTGCTAATTACAATTGCTGTTTTCCCTTTGACCCTAATTTACGTACATTGATCAGCTTCACTTTGTTTTATTGCTGAACAGATTTTTAGATGCTATAAGGCAGTACTTGTGTCTGTCATTGTTGAAGAACATTGCGTCACCTCTTACAGTCATTTTCCAGCTTTCTTGCTCAATATTCACTAGTCTGGTCTCATGGTTTAGAGCTGGTCTGAAGGCTGAAGTTGGAGTATTCTTTCCTATGATTGTGCTTAAAGTATTAGAAAACGTCGCACAGCCAAATTTTCAGCAAAAATTGACAGTGATTCAGTCCTTGGAGAAGCTGTCTGCTGATTCACAGATCTGGATAGATATATTCTTTAACTATGATTGTGATGTTAATGCGACGAACATATTTGAGAGGTATGCTTGAATTTGTACACCTATCTATGCATTTGTGATGAGGGCTTAAAATGTGACGTCTACATCATGGTCGATATCCAGGGTGATCAATGGATTGCTGAAGACTGCTCAAGGTGTTTCGCCGGGTGGTTCAAATACACTCCAGCCGTCACAAGATGTTAATATGAAGCAAGAAGCTATGAAGTGCTTGAATACTATTTTGAAGTCCATGGGTGACTGGATGGACAAGCAGCTTCGTATTTCAGTTTCTGCTTCTCCGAAGAATGCCGAAGCTGTGGACAATAATAATGATCCTGAAAGTTTTTCTCCAGTAAGTGAAATTGGAGACGAGCCCAGTGAACCATCAGATACTAATACTGAAGCAAGTGATATTTCTGAGGTTTCAAGTATTGAGCAGCGTCGAGCATACAAACTTGAACTTCAGGTAATATATTTAATATTGTGGTAGATAATGTATTGGTTTCTGAGCATAAGGTCACCTATATATAATTTGCATTTCAGGAAGGCATTTCTCTTTTCAATCGGAAGCCCAGTAGAGGTATTGAATTCCTCCAGAAGGCGAATAAGGTGGGGGCCACTCCAGAAGAGATAGCGTCTTTCCTTAGAAATGCATCTGGTTTAAATAAAATGATGATTGGTGATTATTTGGGTGAAAGGGAGGATTTGCCGTTGAAAGTGATGCACGCATATGTGGATTCTTTTGATTTTCAAGGGATGGAGTTTGATGAGGCAATCAGAAACTTCTTACAGGGGTTTAGATTACCGGGTGAAGCCCAAAAAATTGACCGTATCATGGAAAAGTTTGCCCAAAGGTATTGCAAATGTAATCCGAATGCCTTTACAAGTGCTGATACAGCCTATGTTCTTGCATACTCTGTTATAATGCTCAACACCGATGCTCATAACCCTACAGTGAAGAACAAGGTATGGTTTTAACCTCTTGATGCAGTTATTGGATGAATCTTTTGGGGGATATCTGATGATTCTTTGTCTCAATTGTTGTTTATGTCTAATTGGGCAGATGTCAGCAGAGGACTTTATAAGGAACAACCGTGGTATAGATGATGGGAAAGATCTACCAGAGGAGTATATGAGATCTTTATTTGAGCGAATATCGAAGAGCGAGATTAAAATGAAAGACGATGAGTTGTCTATTCAGCATAAGCAATCTATGAACTCAAACAGAATGCTGGGCTTGGATGCCATCCTAAATATTGTAATACGCAAACGGAGTGAAGATAGCTTGGAGACAGGCGATGAACTCATGAAACTTATGCAAGAACAATTTAATGAAAAGGCTTACAAATCTGAGTAAGATGTTCGATTAATTTCTGCGCTAAGATCAGGAATAGACTGGCTTCTGCTTTTTCTTTTACTTTAATGGCCTCCATTATGCATATTTTGTGCCGTAGACTTTTATTAGTATCTGATCTTTTAATTGAATCTGATAGCCCTACTTACATTGCAAATTTTAGGTCCACTTATTATCCTGCAGTGGATGTGGTGATCCTCAAATTCATGATCGAGGCATGTTGGGCTCCCATGCTGGCTGCATTCAGTGTTCCTCTTGACCGAAGTGATGATGAAGTCATAATATCCCTATGCTTGGAAGGTTTTCGCATTGCAATTCATATCACAGCGGCAATGGCCATGGCAATGCATAGGGATGCTTTCATTACATCTCTGGCAAAGTTTACGTCCCTCCACTCGCCTGTGGATATCAAACAAAAGAACATCGATGCAATCAAGGTTAGTATGTTCTTACAAGTTTCTTATTAGGCCAATTGACTCGTTGATTCCCCCAGCATTGAGCTAATAATGATCTAAATGAATCTTGTGATACTGGTAGAATTTGTTATTGCTAATTTGCCCCATTGTGCAGTAATATGGTCACTTTCTTGGCCATTGAGACAAATTCTTTTGTCCTGTTATCAATTTTTTCTCAATATTACATGCAATTGCACTTTTCGATACTTCTAGTTATGAAGAACAATTGTAAAGAATGATAACATTTATGATGTTGAATATAATAGTTGAAGATGTCGGTATGGTCTTGCTCTCTGATGGAATAACCCAAACTTTTGCTTTGTAGTCTTCTAATAAAGTAACCATGTCCAATTGCTGCTATTTCATGAAATTTCTCGGTTGGATTTGCTGCTTTGTGATATGCCTATGCTCATCTCTTTCCCTGATCTCAAACAGGTTATGGTTGCTATCGCAGATGAGGATGGGAATTACTTACAAGAGGCTTGGGAGCATGTCTTAACATGTGTTTCTCGATTTGACCATCTGCGTGTCTTGGGTGAAGGGGGACAACCTTATGCAACATTGTTTTCAATTTCTCAGAATGAATTCGACAAATCTAAACAGGCTCGGAAGAAAGGATCTGCTGCATCAGCTATGTGGAGGAGTTCATACGATAGTATAGGTGCAGGTGGTACTACTTTCCCGGAAATAACATCTACCCAGCTAAATAACTTGTTCACTAAATTAAACTTGCTGGAAAAAGTCGGTGAGATGAATCACATATTCGTGCAAAGCCAAAACCTCAACAGTGAGGCCATAATTGATTTCGTCAAGGCGCTTTGCAAGGTATCCATTGATGAACTGCGATCCACACCTAATCCACGGGTTTTCAGCATTACAAAGATAGTCGAGATCACGTATGTTGTTCTCTCTTTGGCTCATACTTTGATTGCTTAATGCCTTACGTTGAATGAGTGATTCATTTTGATTCATTATCGGTTTTGACAGGAACTATAATATGAATCGGATCAGGCTTGTCTGGTCAAAGATCTGGCACGTGTTGTCTGATTTCTTCGTGACCCTTGGTTGTTCAGAAAACCTTTCGATTGCTATATATGCTATGGACACTTTACGCCAAATTTCAATGAAGTTCTTGGACCGAGAGGAATTGGCTAATTATAACTTTCAGAACGAGTTTATGAAGCCTTTTGTAATCGTCATGCGCAAGAGTAGCGCTGTTGAAATCCGGGAATTGATCATCAGATGCGTTTCTCAGTTAGTGTTATCGAGGGTCGATAATGTCAAGTCCGGATGGAAGAGCATGTTTATGGTATATGTCATTGCCTTATCTACGAACTCTTCGAATCCTTATTTCTTTCATTCCATCTTATGATGTCTCGAAATTTGCAGGTCTTCACGACAGCTGCTTACGACGACCATAAGAACAACGTCCTCCTAGCATTTGAAATAATCGAGAAGATCGTGCGAGATTATTTCCCCTACATTACTGAGACCGAAACGACTACTTTCACAGACTGTGTAAATTGTCTTGTGGCATTCACCAACAGCAGAGCCAACAAAGACATTAATCTTAACTCCATCGGTTTCCTCCGTTTCTGCGCTGTCAAACTCGCCGAGGGCGACTTAGGCAAGCGAAATTCCGAAAACGATCCCCCAATCCGAAAGGACAAGGTGGATTATCTCTATTTATGGTTTCCTCTGCTTGCAGGTAAATTCGAAAGCATTCTCGTTTCTTACAACTTTCGCATTCATTACATTAGAGTGATCTTTCGCTGAATTCTCGCTGTCTAAACAGGTTTGTCTGAACTGAGCTTCGACCCGAGGACAGAAATCCGGAAAAGCGCTCTACAAGTGCTCTTCGAATCCTTACGCCAGTATGGTCATCACTTCTCTTTGTCTTTATGGGAAAAGGTGTTCGACTCTGTACTTTACAGAATCTTCGACCAAGCTCTACACGCCGTTGATCCCTACGGCAGCAACAAGCCCCCGACGCACGCAGAAGGGGAGGAAAGCCGAGATCGGGATGCATCGATCGTTGAGACGTGCACTTCTGCTCTGCAGCTTGTCGTCGATCTGTTTATCGATTTCTACGACACGGTGAATCCCCTTCTGAATAAACTGCTGGAGATATTTGTCGCTTTCATCAAGTCCACTCATCAGACGTTCGCCGGGGTCGGGATCGATGCAATGGTTCGTTTGACGAGCAAATCCGGGGAGCTGCTCTCATTAGACCAATGGTTCGACGTCGTTTCATCTCTCAAACTAGCTGCCGGCGAAACGCTACCCGATTTTTCGTTCGTGCTCACTGAGAACAGCAAACTTTCGGAAAACTCGAATGGAAGTGCGGCGGAGTTTGAAGCTTCGGGTGCGGATGAAATGGATAAGTTGAGGAGAGAATACTTGTCCGCAGCTATATCGTACGCCAAATCCCGAGCCGCCATTCAGATGCTACTCGTACAAGTAAGTATTGTATTTCCGTATTTCGATTAAGTAAAATGCGATGGAAAGTGTCGATTCATTGAAACGAACGATTCTCGGATCATCGCAGGCGATCATGGACATCTACGACGCGCACGGCGACGGCCTTGCGGTGAAAAACACGATTGTCCTCTTTGAAGCAGTCCATTCGGTCGCGTTCCATTCGCACAAAATCAACGGCGATATATCGCTCCGTCAGAAGCTGCAGGAACTCGAGGGCGTCACGCAAATGCCGGACCCTCCTCTGCTTCGTCTCGAGAATCTCTCCTACCAAATCTGCCTCACGATGTTGCAGACCCTCGTCTCCGACCGGAATCCAAGCCCTCGGCACTCCGCCGAAGTCGAGACGCATCTCATTGGCCTCTGCCGCGAGGTTCTCCAGTTCTACGTGGAGGCTGCACGTGCAAAGCAGCTGCAGATGCCCGGCGATCCACCGGAAAGGCGGCCGCAGCCGCTGTGGGCTGTTCCCCTGAGCTCAGGACGGCGGAAAGAAATGGCGGCACGGGCGCCAGTCGTTGTGGCGACTCTGCAGGCGATTTGTGGGTTGGGCGACGTGTTGCTGGAGAAGAACTTGCCCGCCTTCTTCCCGTTGATTTCGAGCTTGATAAGCTGCGACCATGGCTCGACGGAGGTACAGCTGGCGCTTAGCGACATGCTTATCGAGTCGGTGGGGCCGGTTTTGTTGAGTCGAGCTGTCTCGTCGTAGTTTGCTGAGAAGCTCGTCGATGGCTGTTGGAGTTGCGGTAGATGCGATTGGTAAGGTTTTTTTCGAATTTCTGGCGTGCCTGTGGCCGATTTTATTGAGCTGACTCGAGCCAAACATGATAATAAAATTCTTTTAAATTTTTTTTGGAGGGAAGGTTGAGGAATTTGTGTAGAGTGATGAGAGGATATATAGCCTTAAGAAATACTTTTTAGTATCTTTTGAACTTCATTTTATTTCCATTTTTTGGAACATGTTATTGTATAGGAATTATAATTTCTATTATATACATACTACTGCTCGTTTGCAGCCTAACGCCGCCCAACGAGAGATCTCGAGCATAAGGGGCACATAGGCTATTATTCTATTTAAAGTAATCGCTACCCATCGTCATCTCGAGCAGGATGTGAATGGGGCGGGTTCGGAACAGATTTTGCAGAGACTTAACCCGCTATAAAATATTAAAATTTAATACCCGCCTCACCCCGTTTCAATCCGACTTCAGAATTCGTTCCGTCCTGAATCCGGAGAATTCGGGGCCAACCCGACAAATTCATTTTTCTTAAGAAAAGAATAAAATATAATTTTTTAAAAATAATTTAATATTAAATAAAATATGCATCAAAGTAAAAAAAATATATATGTACTATAGTTCTAAAAATAAAAAAAAATCAAATATTGACAATAATCTTTATTATAAATAGAATTTTAGGAGAAACAAATGCGAAAACAAATTTATTTAGAATTAAGGTTCTTAATTCTATTTTATGTTTAAATTTTTTAAAATAAATAAATAATATAATTTATATTGTATAACAATTTAAATAAATTATAATAATTATTAGAATATCCGGGTCCGAAGAGGGATGGGGTTTTAGTAAAATCCATAACCCGCTCCGAATTCGGCCGGGTCTAAAACTCAAAATCTACAATCTGCCCCAAACAAAATTTTTCAAACCCGAACCAAATTTTTTAAACCCACCTTATTTGACATTCCTAATCTCGAGATTAAAATTCGCATCAGTAACTGATGGGTTGTTATGCAGACTAATTTAACAATTTTTTTTTTAAATATCTATTATATCAAAATTAAATTTTAAATTTTTTTTATGAGAAAAAAAAATTAGTTTATGTAAAATAAAATATGAATATTGATATATTTTTTTGTTAATTTTATACTCAAATCTTATCCTATGAATTTAAAGAAACATAAATATATATATATATATATTTCTTTTTAATTTTCTTGTGAGGCGAAGAAGCTTCTTGAATGGCCAAAAACTCAAATTTACCGAGGTTGTGTTTGTTTGGAGGATTGGATTTAAATTCAACTATTCATTCAATTTTTTCCCCTTCCAAAATATTAAATCAAACAACTATTTTTTATTTTTTTATTATACTAAAAATTAATTTTACATTCAAAACATCACATCAACGCCTATTTATATCACATCATACAACTATTCAAATTCAAAATTTTTATTATTTAAATCCCAATCTAAAATCGAAACCCCCAAACAAACACACCCAATAGTACAAAGACAATGAAAATTACATCTAGATTTAAATATTGCCATTTGTCAACATTTATATGTCGAAAATTACTATTAGTGTGTTCCTTTTTTTAAAAAAAAAATAACCCACACTTTTTTTTAAAACAAATTAATATATTATGTACATTTATTATTTTTATATTACCTCAAACTTTTTCATGTAAAAAAAAATCTCTTTAAATTATTTTAAAAAATAAACACTTCCTAGATATGAACCAAAATTTCTCAAAGCAGGTGAACATCATACGGCATAGAAAGAATTGACCAAAGGCAATCAAATCAATCAATATAAATCAATTTGTTGGAACAATATTTTTCTCCAACTTTTTTTGGCATATGGTTCTTCTTGCTTTTCCCCTGCTGCCTTTCTTTGTTTCCATTCAGGTTACTACAACAGACTGCCTGCAACTCTGCTGGTCTGCTCTTCTCGATTTGGGAAGCTTAGAAGAGACAAAAAGAATGAATTTTTGGGTGGTCAACCTTTGACAGAGTTCATGCAAGAATACATCATTCCACTTTCGTGCAAAGGGTTTTAATTGAGTTTGTCCTGTATGCTTTGTTTGTCTGCTTCTTGATAAGTCGTGGGGGAGTTTTTTGGTTGTTGCATGGGTTTAGAGAGAGAACTGTTGTGAGAGAAAGTAAGTTAAACCATCTCAACCCCAACCCTTCCTCTCTTCATGCATTTAAAGAGTGCTAGACACATTTACTTGCCGGAGACATCGTCGGAGGAGGAAGAGATTGGAAATCCGATCAGGAGATTCGTCCAAAGTCTGAGCAACCCTGCTATCTGCTAGTTGTCAGTACGAGTTCGTGACAACTTATACCTGTGGAGGGATTTTCCTAGGTGGTTTGCATTATAGTATGGGATAAAGGAGTTTTGGGCTGTTTAGTTCATAATCAACCTTGATTAGTGAACTTCTCCTGGATTGGAATCCCCCGGATGTAGGTTGGTTATAACCGAACCGAGTTACCAAATATCTTGTCTTTTATTGCTTTGGATATTGTCCTTATTTTGTTGACAAGATGATGTTATAACTGTGATTTTACCACGCTTCGGGAGTTGGCCCATTTGGAAAAGTGTACAAGAATTTATTGGGGTTGCACTTATTCCATCCCAACATTTGGTATCAGAGCGGTGTTCTCTAAGTTGCTGAGTAGATTCTTTCACAGTTGCAAAGATGAGTAAGGAAGGTTGATCTACATCGAGACCTCCATTGTTTGATGGAACAAGTTATCGAAGTTGGAAAAACAAGATGAAAGCTTTTCTGATGCTACAAGGTGAAGATGTTTCTGAAGCTGTTGAGTCTGCATGGTCTCATCCCATGAAGACCATCCAAGATGAAGATAATATCATCTCTCTTGTGAAGAAACCGAAAAGAGAATGGACTCTCAATGAAAAGTCAGCTGCAATCGCCAACTCGAAAGCCCTTTTCTCGATTTTTAATGCTGTAGATGAAACTCAAGCGAAGCTGATATCCAACTGCAAAGTTGCTAAGGAAGCATGGGACATCCTGGAAAATGCATTCGAAGGGTCTGTACAAGTTCGAGAATCAAAGCTGGATCATGTTGAAACCTTGTTTGAAGGACTGAAGATGAATGAAGATGAAACGATTGCTGATTATCATAACCGATTCATGGATGTTGTGAATCAAGCTGAAGCTCTTGCAATGCATTTCGAAGAAAAGAGACTGGTGAGGAAAATCCTTAAAAGTCTCACAAAAAATTTCAGACCGGAAGTGATTATGCTCGATGAACCACCAAAGCTGAGAAATATGACATTGGATGAACTGTATGGTACGTTGGTGAGCTATGAAATGAACTATATCGAAGATGAAGCACCCAAAAGCATGGCTCTAAATGTTGAAGACTTGAAGATGATAGAGTCTGATGAAGAAATGGCACTGCTGAGCCGTAAACTTTCACGAATGATTAGTGAGAAACGAGTTGCCAAGCTGAAGTTTGGGAAGTTTCAGAACAGAAATAGCTATCAGGGAGGAGGAACATCCAGTTCTCAACGAAAATACCCTGAGCAGAAACCAACTACATACAACAAGCCAAAAGAAAGATTCGATGGTGAATTTAAGAAGAAATTTGTGGTGTCTGCAAAACCAGAGACGGTTCAAGAACCTACCTGTTATGGATGTGGTGGAGTCGGACATATTAAATCAGAGTGTCCAACAGTAAAGAAGAGGGAAAAGAGAGTTTATCAAGCCACATGGAGCGACAATGAAGATGGTGAATCTGCTGGAGGTGAGGAACAGACAGAAAGTGATGAAGTGGTAGCATTTATGGCAAATGCTGGTGAAACCAGTAAAAGTAATGAGGAATCCAACCCGAAAGCTGCTGATGAGTCAAGGGAACTTGATGCTGAAGAGTTGATCGAAGCCTATGAGGAAATGGTAATCGAACAAAAGAAAGCTGTGGTGAAGAACAAGGAGATGCTGGAAACAATTTATCGTTTGGAAGATCAAAAAGAAAAACTTGAGGATGAACTTGAAAAACAGAGGAAGATTTCTGATGATAAATCTGCTGAATCACAGAAGTTGAAGTCAGAGAATCTGAAGTTGAAGGATGAAAATGATAGACTTCGGAAAGGAAAAGAAATATTAGATGAAGTCCTTTCAATTGGTAAACCATTTGGTGATCACAAAGGATTGGGATTCTGTGAATCTTCTCAAAGTAAACCAACTACATTTGTGCGTGGTGGTTTGTTAACTGATGTCAAACTTCCAGAGAAGAATTCAGTATCTGTAAGGAAACAGAATCCAAAGAAGAGCAAAAACAGAAATTGGAACAGATATCGCAGAAGAACTCAGAATAACAGATCGTCGTTATTACAGCCTACTGACTGCAAGTACTGCTTGTATCCTGGTCATTCAGCTGAGAAGTGTTTCAAACTGGCAAAGGATGTTATCAATGGGAAACACATTCGATGGCCTACAGAAGGTCTGAAACATAACATCAAAGTCAAATTGGTGTGGATGCCTAAGGAAAGTCTGAAACAGGTGGAATGCAATGTGATTCTGTCAAGCCAAGAGTCTACCAGGGCAGATCGATGGTACTTTGATAGTGGTTGCTCACGATATATGACTAATCAAAAAGAACTTCTGAAAAATTATGTTGAAGACCGAAGTGGAGATGTTATCTTTGGTGATGGTGCAAAAGAAAAATCAGTGGATATGGCGCTCTTGAAAAAGTAGGGATTCCAAAGTTGTCGAAAGTCTACTATGTTGAAGGACTGAGTACAAACTTGATCAGCATTAGTCAACTCTGTGATGATGACTTACATGTGAAGTTCACGAAAAATTCATGTGAAGTATATGATACTGAACAAAAATGCGTGATGACTGGAGTTCGATCAAAGAACAATTGTTACTTGCTGGAATATCCTCAAATGGGAGCATTGATATTGAAAGATGATGAATCTATGCTGTGGCACACCAGATTGGGTTATGTCAATCCACAGAATCTATTGAGGATTAGCAAAATTGGAGCTATCAGAGGATTACCCAAATTTTCAAAGATCCCGATTACTACGTGTGGTGACTGTGCGAGAGGAAAACAGAAGAGAGCTGTACATTCCTCACTGGAACAACGTTTCAGCAGCAACTGTCTGGAGCTGCTGCATATGGATCTCATGGGTCCAGTCGATGTCTGTAGTCTTGGAGGTAAGAAGTATATTCTGGTTTGTGTTGATGATTTTTCAAGATATACATGGGTAGATTTTCTACGTGAGAAAAGTGATGCCTTTAATGCCTTTGAAAAATTGAGTACAAGGCTTATGAATGAGAAGAAATCAAAGATTGACAGGTTGAGAACTGATCATGGAAAGAAGTTTGAGAATCAGAGGTTTACTGAATTCTGCAATGGATTGGGAATTAAGCATGAATTTTCTGCCCCAAAGACTCCACAACAAAACAGAGTGGTGGAAAGAAAGAATCGAACCCTACAGGAAATGGCAAGGTCAATTATGCATGCCAAGGGAGTTGCCAAATATTTGTGGGCTGAAGCTATTAACACAGCTTGCTATGTGATTAATCGAGTGTATCTCAGACCCCACACGGAAAAGACAGCGTATGAAATCTGGACTAGAAAGAAACCAAATGTTTCCTACTTTCATACATTTGGGTATAAGTGCTACATTATGAAGGACAGAGATCAACTACATAAGTTTGATGCTAGATCAGATGAAGGTATGTTCTTGGGATACTCTCTGAATTCCAGAGCTTACAGAGTCTTTAACAATCGAACTAAAAAAGTGATGGAATCTGTGAATGTGATATTTGATGATGCCCTCTTGGAAAAGAAATCCATACATCCGAGTGATGATGATGATGATAATGATGAAGCCACTCCCACCAAAGTAATTCAGAGTCATCCAGATGTTCAGAATGTTCCTCAGACTCAGAATGATGTACCTCAGACTGGTGACAGTGCTGCAGAGAGCTCAGTTAGATTTGATTGGTCAGAACCAGAGTGTTCAACCGATATTACCACAACCAACTTACAACCTGCAGAGAGTGAATCTGATACTGAAGCAAGAAGATATGGTTCCAGAGTTCCACAAAATCATCCAATTGATGCAGTCATTGGTGATCCAAAAGGAGGAAGATTAACTCGAGGTAAACAAATTGATTTTAAGAATTTGTCTGGGATGAATTGTTTTATTTCCACAGTTGAGCCAAAGACAGTAGACGATGCCCTCAAGGATGAATATTGGATCAATGCAATGCAAGATGAGTTGAATCAGTTCACAAGGAATCGAGTTTGGTACTTGGTTGAAAGACCAACTAATGTGAATGTTATTGGAACGAAATGGATCTTCAAGAATAAATCAGATGAACAAGGGAATATCATCAGAAATAAGGCAAGGTTAGTTGCACAGGGGTACACACAGATTGAAGGCATTGACTACGATGAAACACTTGCTCCTGTTGCACGTATTGAAGCAGTGAGATTACTGGTATTTGTTGCATGTTCCTTGGGATTTACTTTCTACCAGATGGACGTCAAGACAGCATTTTTGAATGGATGGATTAAAGAAGAAATTTATGTTGAACAACCAAAAGGATTCGAGGATCCTTTTCATCCAGATCATGTGTACAGACTGAGGAAAGCGCTTTATGGTCTTAAGCAAGCACCAAGAGCCTGGTATGAGAGGCTGTCCAATTTCCTGCTGGAAAAGAAGTATGTTCGAGGATCAACAGACAAGACCCTGTTTATCAAGCTACAGGGAAAAGATCTTATGATTGCACAAGTATATGTAGATGATATTGTGTTTGGATCAACTGCTGAATCGTTGAAGAACGAATTTGTGAGATTCATGGAAGCTGAATTTGAGATGAGTATGATTGGTCAGCTCAATTTCTTTCTGGGATTACAAGTTAAGCAGCTAGCAGATGGAACTTTCTTGAGTCAATCGAAGTATGCTCAGAATATGGTTGAGAAATTTGGCCTTCGTGATTCAAAGGTTGTCCGGACTCCTTTAGGACAACAGGATAAGCTATCCAAGGATGATGATGGGAAGATTGTTGATCAGAAATTGTACAGAAGTATAATCGGGAGTTTGCTGTATCTGACTGCTAGTCGCCCAGATATTTCTTTCAGTGTTGGCGTATGTGCAAGGTTCCAATCAGCTCCTAAGGAATCTCATCTGAAGGCTGCAAAGAGAACTCTTAGATATGTCAAAGGAACAACTGAACTTGGGCTGTGGTACTCGAACAGATCTAGTCTTGATCTTATTGGATTCACGGACTCAGATTGGGCTGGATGTTGCGATGATAGTAAAAGCACAACTGGTGGATGTTTCTACATCGGGGACAATATTGTGAGTTGGAGTTCGAAGAAACAAAATTCAATTGCACTATCCACTGCTGAGGCTGAGTACATTGCTGCTGGAAGCTGTTGTGCTCAATTGTTGTGGATTCGACAGATGCTGCATGATTATGGCATTATTCAGGATTCATTCACTCTATTCTGTGACAACACAAGTGCTATTAATATCTCCAAGAATCCAGTTCAGCATGGGAGGACAAAGCATATCGACATTCGATATCATTTCATTCGAGACTTGGTAGAAAATGGGGTGTGTGATCTGCAACACATTGGAACAGTTGAACAGAAAGTAGACATTCTCACAAAGCCTCTGGATGGAGACCGATTCGAGAAGTTAAGGAGGAACTTGGGTATGTGTTCATGCCCTCTCTGAATTTCATTGCATAAGTCAAAAATTATTTATCGCCAATTTATTTTGATCTCATTGATGAATATTGGAGATATATATATTTATATATGTAAGGGGAGAAATTATATACTCTGGAAATTGGATTTTGAGAATCGTGGTGATAAGGATCATTCCAGAGAGAGGGATTTAAGTTGCAGAAGTTGAAGTGACATAAAGTTGTCAGTAACGCTGCAGCTGCTGTGTCAAGACAGCTTTTTGGGGAATTGATTGACTAAGGGGGAGAATTCTTAATTGAAAATTCAAAAGCGTGTTCTGATCGTCTCTCTACCCTGGCTATTTCTTTTGGCAGTTGTCGTTTGTGGAGATAACCTCCTCCAGTCACAAGGTTTTCCCTCATTCTTTTCTCTCTTGCGAAAAATCATGGCTCGAACCCGTTTTGGGAATGTTCGTCGCGCTGGAGCCGAAGGTGGTAGACGTGGGCGTGTTGGCACTCGAGGCAGAGGTCGTGGTCGACGAAGTGAAACTGTTAGTCCCTCTCCCGACCCCATGGAGGTTTCTGAATCGATTAATAATCCTCCGCCACTGGCCGAAGGAAATCTGAAAGAAGCAGAGGATGATACTGTTACACAAACCCTACAGTCCTTGAATGAACAATCAAAGGTTCTAGAGGAAAATGTTACTCCAAATGAAGGTATCATCACTGGAAATGAAGTTGCTGTTGCTGTTGAAGAAGAGCCTCCAACTATCGCTGGCGAAGCTCCCATTGAAGAACTCGAAAAGGTTGCTGAGGAGCCCCTGGTTACTGAAGAAGTTCAAAATGCTGGTGATGCTGAGGAAGTTGCTCCACAACACGTCGCTGAACATGAGGTCACTAACACACAGATAGATGAAGTGGTTGCTGAAGAAGAAGTTCCTACGGAACAAGTTGTTCATGGTGTTGACACAGAAGGTACAAATCTTGAGCCTCGTTCTTCCTCTGAAGATCTTGATGCTCTCATTGACAGGGTCGTGAGTCAGCTTCCTTCTCAAGATAAGGAGTCATTTTCCGAAACGTCTGGACCAGACACAATCCCTGAATCTCCGTTACTTAGAAAAATGGTGGAAGGTAGTGATGAGGTTGTTGCGACACCAGAACAACAACCATCTGCAGAACAGGTCATGGAGGCTGAGTTTACTCCATCCTCGTCAAAGAGACAACCCTCCAAAAAGAGGAAGTTGTCTGCTGGTGTTCCCGGGTCTTTTCGAAAAAGGCTCAAACGATCTTTTTCAAAGAAAGTCATAAAGGGAAAGAAGTCCAAAACTCGTCAGAAGGCTCTCGGATCTCATTCCATTACTGCGCAACAAGCTATGGATACTACACACTTTGATGATCTTGCTGAAGTGTTTGAGTACGACATTCTCGCCGACCGAAAATTTGTGGTTGAAAAGAAATTCACAAGCAATGAGCACTTGGAGGTTGGCTTTTCCGATTATCTGCACCGGAAAGGATTGTTTCACTGGGCTGTCAAACTACGGAAGTACTGTCCAAAATTGGTCAAGGAGTTTTACGCTAACCTTTCTGCTCATGTCTTAGATCAAGACTCTCCCTGGTTTCATAAAGCGTATGTGCGTGGCAAGGTTTTTGAGCTAAGTCCGCGCGTCATAAACAAGCTGTTAAAACTCCCTCTTGACAATCCTGAAGAGCTACCCTTTGATCTTCTGAAAGACTCCACGAGAGATGTTGCCCTGTTCCTGTCCTCACGCAAGTCAGTGGACTTTGGTAGAAAAGGACTCAGTGCCTCTGAGCTTTCCCTGAGATTTCAATGTCTTTTCCGTCTCTGCGCCAAGAACATTCTTCCAACCAGCAATGGAACCAGTATTGGTTCTGAAATGGGTAAACTAATGTATTCCATCGATCGCTTTTGTCCTAACATTAATTTTGGTTTTATTGTGATGTCAAAAATGGTCAAGTTCTCACGAGGCCAGAAGACTGAAGGTACGAACCTACCGTATCCTGCCTTGATCACACTGTTATTG